ATTAGCGCAGAAACTAACACATACACACCGTGTAACTCATAAGCCCAATGCGTAAGAAAGGGATGAACGATCACACATACACAGGAGTCTCGGTTTGAATTATCAATTTGGACTTAAGAAACTCATAGAAACTTTAAAATAAATCTCTGATAGCGCTGTTGGGCAATTAGCCGGTGATTAAACAGGGTTGCAGGGATGGTAGCCTCAAAATCATCTTTTCATTCTTGGCTTGGTAGGTACATGAAATTTTTAAAATAATATATAAATTATTACATTTAACTATTTTTTACATTTTAATTAGGTGTTGGATTCGTTACAAGGAATGTCGCCGAAATATTTACTATTAAGTAAGAATTTCTAATATTCTGAAATGCCGGCTGCGCATAACCTCAGTTGTTCTTACATGCAGCCACAAGTCAGAATTTTTGACGCCACGGTTTTGCAGTATTTTAAAAAATAGTTAAGAACTGTGGAAAAATAAAAATTGTAAAGAAACTTCCCTTATGAAATTGAAACATATTATGTGACATCTTACACATATCACATTAATTATTTTTAATTTTACAGGGTCGGTGAGAATCTTTATCCAGGCTGGATTGCTAATATCAGATAGTTGAACGGAACTGAAGGCTAAAAACGTGAACAAATTACTATTTTTAAACAAAAACAGGTGGATTATTGATCAATAAAGTACTTCAACGAAACGTATTTTAAGTATAAATTTTTTGTTCTCATGTAACATAAGTAAATGTATAAAAAATGTTCCTTTTTATAACTCGTCAACTCTCAGAGCAGTTGATATAGTAACATAAAAAATTTTATACATATGTATGTATGTAACTTTATTATTTTTTTTTGTGTTTTCCGTTATTGTAATATTCGGTTTTATAAATAATCCAAAGATTATTTCACTAATTATTTCTGCTAACATCGACGCTATATTCACTGCTGCTGACGCTTTGTGAGAATGAGCTGTAACTGCATCTTCTGTCAAAGGGAAGTGAACTCAGGCAAACCGCCAACACATTCACAACAGGTAACGAAAGCGAATTATTGAAAAGGGTGCGAACAAAAGACAAAGATAAATAAGAAAATTAAAATACAACAAAAGCAAGTGCACACTTTCAGCTTCTGGCTATACCTTTTCCACAATTTTTTACATACATCTACATATACCATATTATATTATATGGTTTTAAAATACGTGTGTATATGCATGTATACCTATACGCATATTAAAGTGAAAAAGGGATTGTGGGATTTGCGGTAGCGTTCTCATTCATAAATTAAAGTGCGATATTTTTATAAATTGCAAAACAAAAGCGAAACTCAATACAATTTTACAATTTGGTCAGTTTTCTGGGAAGTTTTCGTGGTTACTCGAAAATTATCAATTAAAAAAAATGCCCCTATTGCTCATTTTGCATATATTTCGGTTTGGTTTTTCGTGTATTTATCAGGAATTTTAATTCAAAAAAGCAAAAATAAGCAAGCCAAAGCCAACTATCACCAACCTCTCTCTTAGTAAGGAGTTGAGCGACTTGGAATTATTAAAGCGTCAAAGAACGGTGGCGAAAAGTAGCATTTTGCGCATAATCACGGACCTTCTTGGAAATATTATGTATTAAGGTCCCATCAAATTAGAATGTCGTCTCGATATACTAAATTCACATATTAAAAAATTAATGAAATGCCAATCTATAGTTTCAAAGGTTAACGAAAACTCATGGCTCGAGAAGAGTTAGAGGACATAATTGATAAAACAAATTTCGTAAGTTTGTGTGAGAGTTTGGTTCATAGTCTTCCAAACATACTAGATATTGAAATATTTTTAATTATTTATCTGGAGAAGGTCGGGAACAGTAAAAGCATTTAAACTTCGGATGAAAATTAGCCGAAGGCGTTGGCAAGTCTCAAAAAAGTTTACGATAAAAAATGTTTGATATTTTTCAATACCGTTTCGAAACTTTTTGAACTGTCAATTATCTCACAGCAATCAGCACCTTCATTGCGCGCGATGATCGATGAAGTGTCGGCTGTGTATGACTCATTGCTATCGCTAGGCGATGAGAAACAAATCACAAGTACGCTAATCGTACATATAGCCATAACAAAGGTTGGCTCTACCACCCGATCCAAGTAGGAAGAACAGCTGGTTTATGGCAAGCTACCATTTTGGAAGGATTGTGGAGCCACCCTGAATAGAAGATTTCAACAGTTAAAGCGGAAAGAGCGGAAAGTTCGACGACGAAACCCGTAGCCTCAGCTAGCACGAGTCACATGAGGCAACAACACATGAAAACGACGAGGTCAGCTTTAGTTGCTGCAATTACAAATCAGTCGACGTGACAGCAGTGCAAATCAAAGGACCACTATTTAACTCGATTTCGTTTCTTTTGCTGTTGCATCTCATCCGCAACCAACAACAACTACACATGCAATGCATACAACAAGTGTGCCTGATCGGATAATGTTGGCAATAGCAGTTATTCTTGTGAGGACCAGCTGTGGAGAATACCTGTCCGCAAGTGTCTTGCTGGACTCAGGATCTCAAGTCAACTTTATGACGGAGGATTTGGCCCAAAAACTGCGAATTCGATGCCAAAACAGCACGTTAAATATTAGAGGAATCCTAAATTCCAATATGAAAGTCGGGTCAAAAATAATACCTAGTAAATAATTACGAATTTTCGGTGGAATTCTGAATAATGTGATGTATTTCGACTAATCACCCAGACCATAACAATAATGTTAAAGAATTGGCGGATCCAAAACTCCACAAATCCCAAATGATTTATAAATTATTGGGAGCAGAAACCTTTTCGATCTGTTAGCTCGGGGCCAAATTCAAAGTAGTCCTAATCAACCAACGCAACAGAGAACTCTTCTGGGGTGGATTGTATAATATTTGGCAAAAATGTCAGGAGTTTAGGTCCTCCTACCGAAGTAAACAGCACATTACTTGTATGCCAAGCTGAAGAAGACTTCTTGTCAATAGATTCATTAGTCCAAAAATTTTGGGCTCTGTAGAAACTTACTTCAGAAACAAACAGCAACAAGTTTACACCTGAGCAAAATAAGTATGCAAATAAAATCGTAAAATGTATCTGGACTTTATTAATGAGTGTAAAGCACTGGGTCACATGAACCGAACAAATAATAAGATCCCGAGTGAGCCACACTATTTAAAATTAAATGAAATTTTGATACTAGGTCCAACCATTCAAGAAGAGTATTACTGAACTCTTCTTCGTTTTCGCTTACATAAGTACGATTTAAAGACAGACATACTAAAATGTACCGCTAAATAATTGTGCATGAAGAAGACAGAAACTGTCAGCTAATTGTGTAAAGAGAGCATCCCTTAGATTAAATTCAGATTTTTCGACTTAACACAATCGGTTCAATGGCCATTAAAAGAGATTTTTATCTTGATGATTTATTAACGGGATCTGAAAATTTTGAGTCTTTAGATCTTATAATAAGTGAGTAAGTGAAATTAACGAAGTTGTTTTCGAACCACTCTTAATTTTTCGACACTGATTGCACTGAAAAGTCATAACAAAAAATCAATTAAAACACTAGGAATTCATTGGTTACCTAAAGAGGATTTATTTCGGTTTCTTTTGGATGCTAATTTCAATGATCTTCGCGCCACTAAACAAAACATATTGTCAATTTCTGCTCTTGGATTTTTACCCCACTAAGCAGCCAAGCAGAAATCTTATTGCAAGAGCTTTGGATCCAAACACTAGATTGGGATGAGTCGATTTCATGCCGCGTTGAGACTAGCTTGTAGAATTTTAAAGCCAACCCGGTACGTAAACATAGAGTCGAGTACTATCTGCCAAATATATGGTTTCTCCGACGCTTCAATCAGAGCGTACGGATGCTGTATATACAAGTACGTACGAAGCCAATCTGCTAGTGGTGTTAAATGTATGTATGTACGTATAAAAACAAATCTATCTTCATTAAAAACCTTTGTCGCAAATATAGTGTCCGAAATATAAGAATTAACTAACAAAGTGTGTTGGCGACGTGTGAATTAATATTTATATCAGGAATAGATTCTCTCTGAAATTCGATAATATATCCCAAATGTTGTCTAATACTGGCATACCTTAAATACGCTATTTTTGTATAATTTTGTTTCGAAATGGTACTTGATGGCATATTGTAAAGTAAGGAAATCAGATGGAATTTGTGTAGGTAATCCATTCCGGCAATTTTCACAATGTTATAAAGATGTTAGAGCCTGTTATGCACCAAGTTTAGTTGAAATCGGGTTAGTAGTTCCTGAGATATAGGTTTCACCTAAAAGTGGACGGTTCCACTCTTATTGTATAATTTTTACATCAATTCTTATGGAGCCTTTCTGAACAACCTCGGATGCGAAATTTAATGCTTCTGACGTTTTTATTTAGTGAGTTATCGCTCTTTAAGTAGTATTTAACATAACCGCTTTACCGCCTGTGTAAGGAGAAACTAAAGGAATTTGTTTTTGATTAGTTTGGTTGATATAAAATTAATAGCTTGTGAGAGAATGTCACTAAATACTTCGATACCCTCTACCGAATTACAGTTTTGTTTCTTAATTTGTGGCTTTTTTATAGCCCATTATAATTTTTCGCTTAACGGCATTTTGTGAGCTTGACAATGGTCTGAGTCTGATGATCTGCAAAACCAACATACTCAGGGTGCCAAGGAACATGTTTACCAAGTTTCATCAAGATGTCGTAATTATTAGTCAATTTAGCGCTTTCATGGACAGGCAGACTGACGGACAGACAGTCACTCGGAATTCAAAACGTTTCGTGATCTTGATCATTTATATAAACTCTATATATATCGGGATTTGTTTTGGGTGTTACAAACAATTGTTAGGTCAACATAAGTATTATATTCTGTTGCAACATGTTAAAGAACGTATACATATTATACTTATGTAGAAACACGTATATTTATAAAAGTAAAATATTAATTTTCGCATTTTTTAGAGCAACTGTAAGAGAACTAATTGAAACGGAAGAAGAATTTTCTAGAGACCTACAAAATATTGTTGATCGTTATATCAGAGCCGTTGACAAAATTGCTGCTCCACGAATTGTTCGCGATAGCAAAGATATTATTTTTTCAAATTTTGAACAAATTGCAGAATTTCATAATATGTAAGAGTTGAAATTTAAGACCATGAAGTCCAGTTTTAACTACGATTGATATTTTCAAGGGTTTTGATTGAAGGACTTAAATATTACTCAGAGCAACCTAATATGACAGCTAAAACATTTCTTAGACTTGAAAGAGATTTCGACAAACACGTCAAATATTGTGCAGCCGAGCCCTTAGCACAGACTTTTCTAAAGGAGAACAAAGAAGCCAACGAATATTTTCAGGTAAATTTTGTACAACAATGCACGATTTGAAGTTACATATTACATTAACAAAAAGATATCTAAGTCAAGTTCATTGTTGTCAAATCCAATTTAATTCAGCCAAGATACATTGAAGAGGCACCAGCAGCCGAGTTTTAATTTTTATTTAATGTGGTTTTTAAAATATCTATAAAATACGATATAGTCTTCAATAATATTTTTTATAACAAAATACGTTCCATCTTGTTGTTTTTCTATGCTACTGCTACCTAATTAATATAGCATATATTTACTTCTATCGTACCGTAGACTACCTTACTTCTCCACTGTATAAGTAGTGGTTATTCTTGTAAAATAAAAAAATGACATATTAAGTGATTTATTGAGGCAAAATATTATCCTTAAGTAAACATACATAAAGGGAATTAGTGGCATATTCGTTGGCAACATTGGTAAAAATAGACAGCTGTATTCTATTGTGAATAGAAAATATCCAACACTGATACATACTTGTTTTTCAAAAATAATTGTAATTGTAAACAAGAAAACACGAATAAAAAATAATTAAGTAACTTTAGTATTTAGCATATTTCTTTTGAATCAAAATTATTATCTCTGTTTCAATTTGAGATGGCATTAAGAAAGAAGCGCTCAAAACTCACTCCACAATGAAATGGAGCTCCTTGAAATTGCTTAAAATGGCATTCAACTGTTCACGAACTCGCATTTCCGCTGTCTGCCACCTATATATTTGGATCTGATTAATTGCGCAGTTAAGCGGGATAAACGCTGCCAAGGCTATAAGATAGAAACTTCATCTGATAACGAATGTTGAATTTATATGTTTCTAAATGTTGCTGCTGTCTAAAAAATGTTTTTTTTATTCTTATAAATTGGAAAATGTAAATCAATTTTGTTTGCACCCGAACTTAGCGCATTTTTGTTGTTTATACTCCTGCAACATGTTGCTACTGAGTATAATAGTTTTGTTCATCCAACGGTTGTTTGTATCACCTAAAAATAATCGAGTAGATATAAGGTTATATATAAATAAATGATCAGAATGATGAGACGTGTTGAAATTTAAGTGACTGTCTGTCCGTCTGCGCAAGCGTTAACTTGAGTAAATATTAAGATATCTTAATGATCAACTAACGGTTCTGCAATCTACCAAAAGCGCAATAAATCAAGACAATAAATTTGCCAATAACAAATTTGGACAATGGGCGTAGCACCGCCCACATTTATGTGAAAACCTAATCTCGGGACGTACTCGACCGATATCAACTAAATTTGGTTGGTAATATTATCCAGACATTCTTGCATTATAGTGTGAAAATGGACGAACTCGAATTACAACAACGCCTACGACTACGGATAAAACTTTGCTCGAATAGTGGCTATTCAAGTCCCCAGATACTGAATATGTAGACCAAGTTCCTGTTGCGAACTTTTGAAAATATCGGTCAATCTGTGAGATATATTACAGAAATTCAGAGAGAATCCTTTTTGATAATAGTATGCCGGTATGTCAAAAGTGGATTGAATGGGATAAAAAATTTCCATTTTCCATTTACCCAATAGAAAGATTTTAGAAGCTGACTTAATACCGCATAGTTGACTTTACTCCTGTCATGTAGGTATGTCTTATTTGACGATGGTTTTAATATGACTTTCTTTGACAGGAAGTAAAATATAGGAATAAAACTAGTAAAAAACCGCATACTCTCTTGTACGAATTTAATTCGATAACTTTGTTATTTCTTTTGCATATAATTTTTTTTGACAAGAGAGCAGAGAAGAAAAGGCATGTCGATGACAGTCAGATTTCCTTGTGACAACAAAACATAGGTATATTTTCTTAAAAATTACTACATCAGCTATATTTAGAGAATTTAATGCTTAATATAGAAAAAATTCTTATGATATTTGTGAAATTCTCCCATCCCATTCTTACTCATAGCCCATTGGCAAACATTTCATCTCCTCTTTAACCTTACTGTTTAAATTTATCAACCGATAGCAAGTTCGTACACAAGTCAGTCAAATGCAAAACGTTTTCTAAGTCCGAACTGATTTTTTCACCGTGAATGTTTACCGGAGTGCACACTTTAAAAATACCACTTATTTTTATCAAGCAATTGTTTGCTAAACTTAATTCGTCATTTATTTGCTTGGTACATTCAAAAATGTTTGTATTCGCACTCATATGAGATGTACAACCACTGTCTAAAAACCATCTCATATTTTCTACAGGGGCCTCAAATACTACCGCTTTGAATTCGCCGAATTTCGATCAACGTACGGTTGATATAGTTTTTTTGTTTATTTAAAGCACATTATTATTTTCCACTTTGTCCTTTTTTGATTTTCGCGACACATATTAATTTTTACACGAAGTACGTTCGCTACGGCAATTCGTCTAGTGTTTCAAATGCGCATCTTATCGTCGCGTATGATTCCGTAGCTAGTAGCTCATCACCACTTGCGACGCTTATTTTTTTCAACTTCTCTATTGCATCGAAGAATGCGTTGAGATGTTCTCAAACTTTCTCGTCTTCTGACATGCGCGACAATGCTACACGTTTAAGTAGCATCGCTTTTCTAGCTGCACCCTTAGATTGAAATGACGATTCCAATATCGACCAAAATTCACATGCACTAACTCCGAAATCAGCCCTATCTCTGACAGCGTTATAGCCAACGAGATGTCCGCTGATGCCTTTTGATCAGCAATTTCCCACTCTTGGAGCTTTACCTTATCTGTGCGGCGCACTTTCGTGCCGTCCCCCCGTCGTGTTAAGATATCTTACATATTGACCGATATATCCGGTACACCATAAAGTCAACTGGAAGTTCGAAAATCTTTAAATTAGGTATGTGGGGCTAGAAAAAGTATTTAGCCGATTTTTTCATATTTGGCGTGAAGACATATTGTTACCAGAAAAATGTGCTCCTTGAGATTCATAAAGCTCACGTAATGACCGATATATATGGTTGAGAGTAAAACGGAACTCTGAGATTCTTTATGTAAGTATACGGGGGCTATGGAAACTAATGACTCGATTTTACCCATATTAAACACTAGGAGACATTATTACATTGGGAGAACGTTCTTTAAGTTTCATTATTATACCTTAGAGATTGATCGCTGTTTTATTATTATCAAACTTGACAGGATGATACTTCGTTACTCGGTAGAACGACTAACAAATTAGCAAAATTAGTGTGAATACCCCTTTAGTTTTTACAAACCGATATGCAAATATTTTATAGATATTTTGATAAACTCCGAAACCCTTCATGAAGTTTTGATGCAATATACAAAGTTCTAATCCAAACTATCGATATTCAATCTTTAGAAAGTCTAATAATCGAAAAATATATACAAAACAACCGTTAGGTGAACAAAACTATTATACTCTGTAGCAACAGGTTGCGAGAGTATAACTAGAAGACCAAGGCCACGCCTTGCTGTGGCTAAGGTATAATTAAATTATATTTGAGTGAGCTGTGAATATAGCCCGATTACACAGCCAGTTTTGATTTAAGTAATTATTATTTAATTTTTTTTATCTGGGAAAATACTGTCAATTCATTATTTAGTTCCGTGTACAATAGTGCTGAAATTATCTGGCAATTAACCTAATCCGATTGTAAATAGTATTTGTTCATCTGTTATTAATTGCTCACTCTTCGCGATAATTTTAGTTAAATTACATTATTAATTATTGAGACCATTACTTTAAATAATAACTATTCTATCATATAAGTTGGACCAAATTACATTTATATGCCAACTTTCATGAATATCAGTTGACTCGTTTTAGAGTTCATTCGAAACATACACACGGATAATTTTATAACACGGCAATTACACTCGTGGCAAACTAATATACCCTTTAAGGGTAAAATTACACTAGTAAACACTGTTTTTGTCATACAGATTTTAACGATTTTGTTTACGTTAGTTTATCCTCATTAACAGTATATAATCATTTTGTTTCAATTGCGTCCAGTTTGTGACAGCGTTAAATAACTTCATTTACGACTGTAACAATTATTGCGTTCGACTAACACATATTATATATGTTTGCTATATCGTAAACAGATCTATAGATATCTATCGGTTTTGTTAGGTGTGTGGAGAATTAACTTTAAAATCTCAGTGTCGTAGTTTCACGTTATTAATTGAACAGGGCTATTTGACAATTTTGAATTTCTTGTGTTCCACATAATGTTGTGTAACGAGTGTGAGACTGCTATTAGGTTGGAAACTCAAGAACCCAGACATATGCCATTTGCTATGGTTCGGACCAAACGATCATGTAAGTGATTGTTAGTTTTGTTTAACTCAAACCAAAGGCAATACAACGAGTCAAACACACTACCCAGTATCAAACTGATCCTGGCCTACAGTCCCATCCCACATAGTGCCTAACTGCCTCTATTGTAATAACGATCCTGTTTATGGATTTTTAAAATTTGAAAATGATCCAAATCACGGTAGATTCATTGATCATTGACTCCTCAAAAGTAGTTTTAAAAGCAGTCTTGCTGCATAACGGAAATAAACTTCCTTTTGTCCGGTTGATGAAAGAGACTTACGAAAACATGAAATGTATTCATGAAAATATATAATACAATAAACAGGTTCGAAAATTTATGGCGAGTTTTTAGACTCGGCCTGGTTACAAAAACTTCTCTGTTTCATTTGCGAATAGGGCAGTAGTGTTAGAAAAAGTCAGTAACAAAAAATTACTATTAAAGAAAGTGTGTCCAAAGCGTAATTCACTCCTCCATTTTTCTATATAAGCAATAATTTCTCTAAATGTAGCTAATGTTTGCACTTTTAAGAAAATATATGTTTGACATATTATTACATATTATTGTTAGTGGCCTACAGAGAACTTGAAGAGAACCATTTACGTTCTCTGGCCAGTACATTCATAATATGATATGAGTTTTCATGTGACAAAAAAGTTAAATTGTGTAAACCAGCGTCATTATTGTTTTTTATT